AAATGATCTACCTCTCACCCCGGGTGAGACTTGCCAGCGTAGGCTATTCTCACCCGGTGCGAAACAAGACCTGCTTTTCCTCATTTTAGAATACTGTCTATCGGTGTGGATGATCAAATTGATAAAAGCCAAGAAAAAATTACGTTATAGCACAAAAGTAAGCTAATTTGATCGTCTTCAAAGATGCTATGGCTATTTCACTGTTCGAATCGAGCCGAACTACGCGGGTCGCCATTTTGTTTTGCCCGGAAGTTCTCGCAAGATCTACTCCTCCCCTCTCTCTCTCTGTGTCTCTTTCTGAATACTGTCTATCGGTGTGGACGATCAAATTGACCAAAACAAAGTTAAAAAATGATGTTAAAACACAAAAGTAAATTAATTTGGTTGTCTACAAAGATGCTACGGCTATTTCACTTTTCGAATCGAGCCGAACTACGCGGGTGGCCATTTTATTTTGAGTTTTGACCAGAAGTTCTCGCGCTACTCCTCTCTCTCTCTCTTTCTCTCTCTCCACTGCCCACAGACAAAATTGTACGCTTTTAGTAGACTACAGTTGTAATGGAACGTTTGTTCACGGCACAGAATACTACAATTTTTCTGTTATCACAGTGTAGAATTCTGTGGTTTAGGGTGAACGCAAAATTTGTTGGCCTATATCTAGATCTAGGCTATAACGGTGAACGCGCACCGGGTGAGAATAGCCAAAAGACTCGCCTGCACTATTCACTATTCTCATCCCGGGTGAGAATAGAGGTGGCCTAACATAGATCTAGTCTAGATCTAGAATCTAGATTCTAGTTCTAGAGTAACAACACTAACACACAGGCCACAGTGACAGTAGAACCAGCAGTTCGCTAATTGTATGGCAACGCACATATACTCGTCCTCAGTCAAACAAAAAAAAATAACATAAAAACTAGAATCTAGATCTAGATCTAGATTCTAGCTGTCCATCAACACGCTTGCAATTCAATTGGAAGAAAGCATCATCATTATCGGATAGTGCAGCAATTGAGGATTGTCCTGGTTTGTTTACGTTTATCGAAGATCACTTCCGCCCAGCACACAAAATGCGATAAAATCAAACGTGGAATCCAATCCGACCTGCAATTATTGTTCTGAGCCACTGAAGAATCAACAGGAAGTAAACCGTGCTTGACTTGACTCTACTTTCACTTCAGTTTTACCATCGCCCGGTTCCTTACTCCACTTTTAGGCTTCGCCTCATCGTTGTTGTGTTAGGCTTGGGTCGACGATTCTCAGAGACAAAGTAGGTTATGTGGCACCTTGATAGTGACTCTGACTCTGTCATGGCTATTGGAATTGTGGGCAAGTTTAAGTCCACAATCCATGTTTACATCCAGAGAAGTAATCCAGAAGTCTTGGTCTTGACGACCAAAAATAGGCTGTGTACACGAAGAACAGAGAAGCAACCTAACTGCGAACATGCCCTCCTGAACCCCCCCCCCTTCCCATATTTTTATTAGGTCAGGAGGGGGGCAAGCCCCCCTGAAACCCCCCTACTCTTGACTTAAACGAACGAAACTACAAAATCGCCTGAGATCTATGTGACACAGCAGACTACTCTAGAAATCTCTAGATTTAGATCTAGAATCTAGGTCTAGAATCTAGATATAGATTCTGGATCTAGATCTAGATCTAGATCTAGAATCTAGATCTCGATCTAATCTTGGGGCTGTTCTACACAAACAGTGAGCCACCCCCTGCATTCGTCTCTCTCTCTCTCTCTCTCTCTCTCTCTCTCTCTCTCTCTCTCTCTCTCTCTCGCTCTCTCGCTCTCTCTCTCGCTCTGGCCCCTCTCTCTCTCTGTCTCTCTCTCTCTCTGTCTCTCTCTCTCGCGCGCTCTCTCTCTCGCTCTGGCCCCTCTCTCTCTCTCTCTCTCTCTCTCTCTCTCTCTCTCTCTCTCTCTCTCTCTCTCTCTCTCTCTCTCCATACGTAGAGGCCTACATTGATCTCTCTCTCTCTCTTCTAGATATATATATATATATATAATCGAAGTGGCTAGCCGTACTGACAGAGTCTTGCCGTACTTAAGTACGGCTAGACTGCCAGTCTAGCCGTACTTAGATCTAGGTTTGGCCCAATCGACTCAAGACTGTTAAGTACACAGGTCTCATTAGATCTAGATCTAGTGATTATTCATGTTCAAATACATGCAAGTCAGTAAGGCACCTTTTGGTTTTGTCTGAAATACAAATACTTTTGGCATTGCAAACTAAAAATTTCATTTACAATTCAGCCATCATATATTAAGTACGGCTAGCCTGGCTGTCTACCCGTACTTAAGTACGGCTAGACTGCCAGTCTAGCCGTATTTATCTTTTAGGCCCTATTAACATTAGAAAACAGGAGGTTTAAAATACACGCACTGTCATTAAGGCACCTGGTTTCGTCTCAAATCCAAATACTTTAGGTACTGCAAACTAAAAATTCATATTTACAATTCAGTAGGCCTATTTTTTTTATATGGTCAGTCTAGCCATCATATTAAGAATAAGTACGACTAGCCCAGCTGTCTAGCCATACTTAAGTACGGCTAGCCTCTTCCTATATAATTATACTTTTGTTCCTTCTGTTTTCAGGAATTTCAGCAGCTGAAAGCACTGTTCTCCTAGCTACTGTCCATCATGAAATACACTGTTGAGGCAGTTCTGGCCTCTGGGGGCCGTCTTGGCAAACTGTCTCAAACGAGTACTGCTGGAACCATCGCCATGGAAACTCCCATGTGCACTCTTTTCACAAAGGGAGGTAGGTACTTTTTTTTCGCAGTTCATTATATGTATACCAAGTTGTTATTATTTTTTTTCTCTCATCATTCTTTGAATTCTGCATGAGAACTGGTGCTAATAATACACACTTTATAAGGGTATACTGTAACTAATTCTGACCCCTCAACACTTGCCAAGAGGGATGCATAGATAAATAAAGGCTGATATTACATTTGCTCTGTTACTACTCTGAATTACTATTAATACTCTACATGCATATTGCCAGCATTCGTTGTGTAGATGTTTCATTTTTCTTTTCTGTTGCATGCAGAAGACATGAGTTTGCATCTGGCATCTATATTAATTATATAATATATACAATTGAACCTGCCATAACTGCCACCTATATAATGTAGCCACCTCTACAAACGGCCACTTTCCATTTGCCCCCTTGCGTTTTTTCTATATAATTTAACTGTAAAACAGTCACCTGTCCAACGCGGCCTTGGCCACCTTATTTTATCAACCCAAGGTCAAATTTACCTGCCTCAGACGGCCAGGCGTGGTCACTCATTGCCCGACGCTTTGTCGTAAATTTTGAATTGGCCCCTCGCGCTGTGGACGGGCCGTCATAATTCATTCACCTGTCATTATTGTTAGTCACTCCTTTGAATGTTAACTCAAGTTGACCAATGGTTAGGCCTAAAAATAAATTTTCAACTGCCAGTGAGGGGAGCGTGATCCGTCGTAACCGAAAAGTAGTAAAAGCCCCGCCCACAACTCATACACAAATTGTGTGTGAGGTGACTGGTCACTGTTTTGTTTACCTTATCTGTAACGAAGTAACAATTGACGTTTATGAACCTGCGACAGACGCGTCGCTCGTTCTCCGAGTGGTGGCGACCCGTGTGTTTATTTTACCATGGCACTCTGTCTTCATAGTCTTACTTATTTATAATGTTTCTTTTATTTCACCCTTGCACAAAATCAGCTGCGAAAAGAAAGCTCACCAAACAACAAAACAACACAAAAACCCTTCTTTCACCACCCACCCCCCCTTTTTCTAAAGAAAGCAAAGACCCTTTTGAATTACCCTAACGGCATTCTAAAGCCTGAGATCATCCCCGGTTTGGATCCCAGAAGAGAATGATAAAATTGCTTTCTTCATTTTGATCAGTCCTGCCTAAGACGGCCACCTGTGTTATATGGCCACTTTTCTCCTTAACAATGGGTGGCCGTTTTACTAGGTTTGACTGTATAGAAGTTGTTTTTATCGAGTATCTCTGTCTGCTGGAATGTTGTACCTTTCCTAGCCCGAGTGGGCATTGACAGGGTGGGTCAAAGCAGACCCCCACCTCTTAAATCTTCTAGACTGTTGATGGGGGGGCGTAACACATTTTTATATAAATAGCTACAATTTTACTTTGCTGTTGTTTTCTCTGTTATTGTCTTTCAGGTAGTGCTCCTCACCTGAGTGCTGTGATGTTGCAAAGAATCTCACAGGTGCCTGAGGTTGCCTGTATGAGCCTTGGGTCTATGTGAGTTGACTTTTCATCGTTATAGTACACCATAGCTTTTAACCCTATCCGTACGCCCTGGGGTCATTTTGTACCCCTGGGGTTGTATTCTTCACATTTTAGAATACTTCTAGTTCGAAGATCTCTTTGAAACTTTCAGTATTTCTCAAAAAATCATTTTGACAGACTGCTAAGTTAAGTGTATGGATCAGATTGATGAGTAAAATTCATCTTTGGAAAGTTCTTAGTCAATAGTTGATTTTTTTTGTAGAACTTTTTGACCTTTGTGTGTTTTGAGGTATTACTGAATCATACTGAATGGTAGTTTGTTTCAGCTCTTAAATAATTTCTTTCTTTTTTTTAATGTCAGCAATCTTTCTTTTTAAAAATCATATACCCAGTGCTCATTGGTACAATCGGTTCGGTTTAGTTTGGT